CCAGTCGATGAGCATTACTGCGTGCGTGCTAAAGGACTTTCAAGTATGAAAAAAAAAAGAGGAAAAAAAATACAAGTTAGTCTGAAGCTCGAATTCGATTTATAATCGTATGATTATATTACCGACGAAATGAACAATACATATATATTTGTATATTAATTAACGATTCCATCCCCATAAACGTGTAATTAGTAACATACCGGCAAGTACCGATTGGCATAATCCCGTGCCTTTTAAACTCCACTTTAATTATTCACTTTCACCATTAACGATTGACAACGCAGGGAGAAGATACTTTTCGTGAAGATTTACGCACTGCCTTTAAGTCGCGCGTGGCATTTTCAAAATGCCTACATGCAATATACAAAAGTGGTCGAACGACCCCACGGACATCAATCACTATAAAGGAGTGTAAAATGCGTAAAGAAACGTGTAAGAGATGAAAAAAAAAAAAAAAAAAAATGAAGAAATAAAAAAAAAGCAAAGAATACAAGCACTCCAAGTATACATCCGTCCCGTTTCTGGAATTGTCGACGCTCACTGTAATCTGCTTTCTACTATATACTCCGGCGCATAAAAAGTGATCTTACGCCAAGACACGAAGCACTCGATCCGGTAGGTTGGTATACGGGTGCCATCGCGGATCGTTTGCTCTCGTAATTTCTTAGCGGTTTTTGCGGCTCCTCACGGGAGACCGAGCTAAGAGCCTTAAGGCTAGTTTTTAAGGTCGAGGCGCGCAGCAGCGCCCATAATTAGCGTATCACTTTCGCCGATGATTGGCGACACCGTGCGACCGCCCCGAGCCTCCCGTAGAACGGCTGCGGCCTCATCGCAGAAAACACAGTGAGAGTCACAGTACGTTCCGTACAGCACGAGAAACCGCTTTCTACTTGCATGTCTCATGCACTTAAGGATCGACCTCGTATTGCACCTTGTGCACCATCCGCAACTGGCTACCCCGACGGGAATGGTTCGATTATTTTTTCTTCGTCTAAACTGATTAGAACCTTAAGCCAATTTTCGTAGTTTTACGGACGCGTTTTTACGGCGAGTTTCTAAGACTATGCTAATGATAGAATGACAATGGAATCAACAGTATTTAGTCACACTTTCAAGAAGTTAAGGAAAATTGTCGACTGCCATATCGATCTTTGATAATTCGATTGGCTGCACTCGCGTAGCGTTTTATCGATCGTCGAAGATCGACAGGCTTTCTCGATAATAAGAAAATTGCATGGAGCCAGGTAGTTCGGTTCGATTAATACTTGCGGATGAAGTAAACGGAAGTGAGTTGGGGAAACGACGGAAACTGAACTCTCTACGTCGATTTCTTGGTTATGATCGATCCTATGCCGGACACGCCTATCCTTACGGTCTTCGTGGATACTTTCCAACTTTTCACCACGTTGCAGACTTATTGTTTCAAGAGAGGCCTTTCCATTCCGTCGCTTTTATTCGACACGATTCACCGAGTCGCGATGCGCTTTGCAATTCCTTTCTTTTTCTTTCCCTTCCACTGCAGTTCCAGGCTAACGTATACCTGCAGGAGTACTTTTGTCAATAACGTGGATTTTTACGGGTCGTTTTTTTACGAGGATCGTTGGAAATTTTTCGAAAAAAAAAATTTTTTTTATTTTTCAAATCCTCCCTTACCTTGGTACGGTTCAACGGATTCGAAAAGTCCCATCCTGGCGCCACAAAGAGGTATCCGCACTTGGAGATCTTCCTAGATGCCTGTAACAAATAGCAGATGCCATTTAAGGAGGAGGCTCAAGGTGAGTTCACACTGACAGTTTCGAACATAAATATTCCATTTGTCGGTAACGGAAGCCAATCAACTTATTCTCTATCTATGTTCTCTCTCTCTATCTCCCTCCAACGGTTCAGACACTCTCTTCGTAAACTGGACATTATTATGCGTCAAAGAGGTTTAGGCGTATTAGAGAGACAGAATGGCCAGGTATATTCACATACGGACACAAATCACGTAGGCAGCTTTATCTCTAAAGAATCGCTAGACATCTTCTGGCATTCATCACAAGACACCTAGCCGTGCATTCTTTCCTCGTAAACTGGGCAGCACTTCCTCCTATACCTTTTCCTATGGGCCACGGCTGAGACTAGAATCTACCAGTAACCAGTAACCAGTAGGCAGGTACTTGTTTCACAAACGCGTCACACAATACGTCTCGCGAAGAAATTACTATTTTATTTTTTATTTTCAACGTCAACTATAGTGATACCACGATCGAGGTACGCGCGTATATTCAATCGCGGGAATAAATAATAAGCCCACGCACTTGAGAACGACCTTCCTTCTAGCCATTAACGTTCTAGTGCTAAATCAATTGGATATGCGTTTCTACGTTACACGGAGAAGACAGGAAGAAAAAGCAGTGCCTAAAAATAACTTGCTAACAATCGGGTTTTCATTGAGCGACGAGCGACTCCATTTATCGGTTTTATCTTGTCTGGCTGTTTAAGGCTGCTGGAATATCGACCAAGGGTGCTACGAGAAATCTTACTTTTTATTAGCAGCATCGATTGTGCGCAGACTCGTCATAAAGAGGCGTGCACACGTCACTTTCGCTCGCTACGGAAAATCACGTGCAACCAGCTTTATATTCCCTATACCAGAGACTGGTATACCGTGATAAAGTCGAGTCTCTATGTATTAACTACATATATAGATGGTATTTATCTAAGAGGCGTTATACGTGTATGACAGATGCGAATAAAAGATTGCTTATAGATTGTCCGACTGAATGCACAATTTTCACTATTGCCGAAGCAGAGTCTATTCATCGGGAAAAAAATTATAGCCTAATTTTCATTTTCTACAGACCAAAATAACAATTTGGAATACTAAAGTGGTAGGACGACGTTTACGAACAAGGCGATACGGTTTGTAAATGGATGATAACGGTAAGAGAGCAAAATTCGTATAAGAGAAGGCGAAGCTACGCGGCGAGAAAGAAAATAAGAAAAGAAAATATTTGCTCGATTTTATGGGGAAATAAAGAAACCCGTTCGGACACTGAGTTGGTCTCGTCACCTATAGGAGTGTAGCCTCACTTACACTGCGCTGGAGTGCAGGCTCTTTCTTTTGAGTAAAATTATGACTCCTTGTATGGAATAAGATTGGCTTGCCCCTGGCTAGACAAAAGAATCCTCTGACCACGGACAAAACCTGAGAATCTCTTGTGCGAGGTTTTATTTTACTTAGTTCTCTAGCGGACTAGTGCGCCAGCCCGGTGCTATCATTGTTCAACCGCTATCTCTTGTTAGTTACGGATTCCCCGCTAGCGCCATCTTTCTCCGAGCGATTAAGAGGTGGAAGTACTCGATATTACCGATAAATGATGCAAAGGGATTCACTTTAGAGGTTCTACTGGCATTCTGTATTCTTATTGCGCGTACTGGAAGATAAAGCGAAAAGAAAATTATATCGAACGTCTATTACAATGCGAAGAAGATGCTTTTACCGGGCGCCATGATGCAGGGACGTCGAGAGTACCGGCAGCGCTGTTTTATACGTAGCGGACGCTACCGGAACTACGCTCCAGTTCGTTAGTCGCTCTTGATTATCGGTAATTAATGACGAATTCATTAGAAGAAAACGATCGCTTACCATAACCGTAAATCCACGAGGTGGACGGTGAAATCGAAAAGGCTGATCTCGAAGAACGGGATTCGCGGATCAGTGTCGCTTATTAATGAAACCGATCGTTGAAAAAAGGATCAAACAAGAGAACTGTTTATCGGTTTTCACTCGCGTATAGAAGCCTGTTTGTTTCTTGGTGGACGCGGGTACACCAGTCTGCGCATGCGCACTGTGTAGACTGTCGGGATTTTTATACCATATAGAACGATCGAATGTTCCATGCTCTGTTTAACCACTTCCCGTCGGATTTTAAATTATTTCCGGTCAGTCCTATCGACGCTGTGCTAACACAATTAACATCCGGAATGAAGTGAATGGATTTCGTGGATGATACGCGCCAACGAAAATTACGGATGTAAATACGAAAATAAATATACGTAGATCGACAAACCTAACGGAAGCCAGCGGATCATTTCTTGCACATATTTTTTTCTGATTTTTAAAAAGAAAACATACCGGAAGCATAGTATAACTTTGCACTGAACTCCTTGAATTCGTCCTTGACACCGTTCCCGAAGTCCTCGAGAATCCTTTTTCTTCTAATCTACGAATAAGGTCGCCCATGGATCCCACGCCAAATCGCAAATAAGGCCGATTCGCAACGCGTGGGTGTTTCGTCCCTGCATCCAGTCAGCAGCCACTTTACACTTAGCGAACATAACGAAGTAGGAATTAGCGCAATTAACCATCCTATAACCATGAACCTCGTTAGCCAATCAGAGCATATCGTGGGCGAGACTGACCAATGAGAATTTGCCGTTATAACGAATAATTCAATATGTCCTCGGTACAGTGTTTATTGGCAGTATACAATGTGTGTAACGCTCGTGCTTTACTGAATTTAACACGGGGACGCGAGACTCTCGCATTAAAGCCAATTTCCAACGAGGGTCGAGCGTTCCGGTCTGCGATTACGTTTCGCTGTGCAAATACACCGGAAGCTTAATGGCAGAACGCAATGCACTATATACACGACGTAGGTCAAATTTTCACGTTACACTAGAAAAATTCATTCTACGGATAAAGGCTAAAAACAATTTTGATATCGGCATTCCTTGTAAATTCGTGCGACGCTTCTTCAAATACCATCGTAAAGCTTCTTACTATGCACGTCGTAACTAAAAGCTGTGATTGGTTCCACTAACGGGGGGTCGAACTCCGGACACCGGATGTGGCTACGCAGTCGACGAGACGCGTGAGACTCTTCTGCACGCATGGGCTTCCCCGTAGGAAGGTACAGTTACTTAAAAAAAAGGTTAGCAAATAATTCCCTTACGTTCCAATGAAGCCCACGCGATTTTTACACATCCTCAATAAAGATGATCCAAGCCAATGTAGAAATGACGCTAACGATGCTTATCGATTTGATAATAATTTCCGATGAAAGGGTCCATACGGGGCATTGATCGAATCTTAGTGAAGCGTGACAACTTGTTTAACTTATAATCGAGAGATTCACCACGGCGCTGATAGGCGTCTTCACGGGATGAATCTTAAGAGGAACTTGTCAAGGATCCTTGCTCATTGGTTAATACCTATTCCCTGACCGAGCCAATCCCATCCGTAGATTTTTGTACGATCGTTTCCAAGCCGGCTACACGCGACGATCGATTGGATGCATGACCCTTTTTTTAAATTCTCATTCCAGGACCCAGCCTCCGCTTGCATCGCCACAGCATCCAGCAGCATCGACTTCACTCCCGTACCAGTAGGTTTACCCAGGACATCGCTGTACCGCACTGTACTCCACTCTCCGTAGGATCTGTATCCTAGGCAACCGATGTACTCCTAGACAAACGTCACGGACGGATCGAAGGGGTCCTGAGGTTGCTGTGCGCGGACAGCGCAATCTCCTCTGTAACCCGGTAAAATCTAATCATGACCGCAAGACTTTCTATCTAATTATCGGAAAGGGTAGAGAACGGCCGAGGATCGGCGGCGTCGTTAAATTACGTTGGCGTCGTCGCAGCTACCGCTGCGGTACCCCGATATCATCTTCGAGGAACAGTCCTCTATACCTCCGGGTATATACCTAAGCAGCGGCCGGAGACACGCCTAGAGAGGACGATCCTCTATTGGTTACTCTATAGGCTTCTATGACTATAGTATACCAAGCGGAAGTTACGTGAATCCTGAGAGCCGAGCCCACGCGATTTCAAAGATTGGCTGTCTTCTGTATTGTAAGAGGGAAGATCGTCGGCGCAAGATACGACCCACTGTACGGTCTCTATGGAAGAAACGACTCTTCGATCTCGAATTAATTCGACAGACTTCCGTTTCTCTTGGGATCGAGGAAAAAATGCGTAACGAATTCCCCCGCAAGGTTAACCGACGTAGACCTCAATGAAAGGCTTCACGAAGGGATCTGTGGTCCAGGTCGACCTTCCAGAGGTCGCAAGGTTCTCCTCTACCGTGATTGCCGGAACGTTCCAAAATGCATCCCGTACGCACAAATCTTTTTACGATGCATATTGAATTATTTTTATTTCTCACAAAATTCGTATACACGTGACGTTGTAGATATGGGATAATACAGGATTCTAATCGGTTCTCGAAAATTTTGCGAAACAGGTAAACCTTGTGGAACCGTGAAAATCGAGCGTTCATATTGTATACGTGTATCTACTATCAAGAAAATAATTCACAAGATGCGGCGATTACGCGTTGCGCAAAGGATACATGGCTGACCCAACCGATTATTATTACCAGCCGCTCACGTTTTGCAACAACAATGCAGCTGTGCATACAGACGCCAGCGAGTTACCCAAGAGAGAAGCGTTGGAAGTCCCAAGACGTGGGATCGAAACTCCCTAGCGCAAGAAAGAGGAAGCACTCTCTTATATTCCTGTGTTTCTCTTCTTTTTTTTTCCCTATCTCTTAGCCATACGATAATTACCGGTTGGCGGCTCCCGTCCGCCATTATTCCGCGGTGCGCTAACGAGGAATACAGCCGAGGTGAGAATGGTGGTTTTCCTTGTGGTAAAAAGCGAAATAATAAAAAAAAGAGAGAACCCAGAATAAGGGAAAGAAAAAACAAAAAAAAAAAGAGTAAACCGCACAACCGCCAGAC